GATAGGCTTTTAGAGGGCCTCAAAGTCTTGGAATTTTATGCCGTATAAATATCAATGCATAGAATAAGAACTGGAAGGAAACTCATTAAACTGTCCCAGATGTTAACTCCCTGCAAAGGCTGCAGGCCTAGGGAATGAAGGGGATTTCCCATGTCATTACTCTGTATACAACAGAATTGCTCGGATTTATTTCTCCGAGAATGTATTTATATCTTATTTGTAGAAATGAAATAACTTGGCTAGGCGTGGTAGCTCACGCCTATAATCCCAGCACTTTGGGAGGCCAAGGTGGGTGGATTACTTCAGGTCAGGAGACCAGCCTGGCCAACATGGTGAAATCCTGTCTACTAAAAATACAAAAATAGCTGGGCGTGGTGGCGGGTGCCTGTAATCCCAGCTACTGGGGAGGCTGAGGCAGGGGAATTGCATCAACCTGGGAGGTGGAAGTTGCAGTGAGCAGAGACTGAGCTACTGCACACGCCAGCCTGGGCAACAGAAGAAGACTCTGTCTCAAAAAAAAAAAAAAAAAGAAAGAAAGAAAGAAAGAAAAAAGAAAGAAAATATCCTTTAAGAAGATAACTTGCCTGCGAATTTTCTCATGTCTGTGAATATGTGCATCTTCCTTGGATGCATCTTCCCCACTTCTCATCGGGGGCATAAAGCAGTTAGAGACCTCTGAAAGTTAAGGAAGGGCTGTGATTTCACAGATGAAAGTCGTCAGGACTTGTCCTGGACATCTCTGCAGTTGTCCCTCTGGTCCACGCTCCTCCCTTCCTCACCCTGCCCTGGGCTGCCTCAGTGGGCCGCTTTGCCTCAGCTCTGGCTTCCGGTGAGGCTCTCCCGAGTCACAGCCACATGTCAGGCTGTCCTCTGCTCACAGCTCTGTCCGTCTCCATGTTCCTGTCACTGCTTCCTCTCCTTGCCTCTTCAGACCTGGGTGGTAACCGGTGTCCTGTTTCTGGCCCTGGTACTGCACTATCCTGTGTGGTTTCCGTCCACCCTGCCCACACCTTTGAAACAGTCTCTTTATTAAACTCTCCTCAGATTACCCAGTTAGAATGTGCCATCTGTTTCCTGCGGGGACCCTGACGGATACAGTATTTTTAATCTGTCATTGCACCATCAATGCCTATACACTCACGCATACACACACACACAGACACACTCACTCTCAGCCTCACACATTCACCCACTAACAAATACACCCACTCTCACGAACTCACATGTGCACACACACACACACACACACACACACACACACACACACCATCACCTGCTCCCAGGACTTTGGGAAACAGTACTCTGGTTAAAGTCCTGTTCCTGTGACTCGAGGGTCTACCCGGGCCTCAGAAATCTCGCCAACAGAGAAGACAGCCTCCTGAAGAGCTGCAGGGCTCTGCTGAGAGCGCCTTTCACTTGTGCACCACTGAACTGGCGACTCCCAACGGTTCTTATTTTTAGAAATTGCTGCACTTTGTCTGCTAGAAATCCAGATGACCCCACCGACTGCAGTCTCAATATGCTTGGAAAGAGGCTTCATAAAAATACTAAGTTAAAGCAGCCCACAGAGTCTTTTAGCCACGCAGAACAGACCAAGGAGTAAAAATAAAATCTCTCCACTAAATTTCAGGTAGGGGAAGAACAGAATCTTCAGGGGACCACAGAAATAAAGATTAATTTGCATGGACAGCACCAAGTACGCTGGGGAGGAGTTGAAGGGAGAACATTTTGGCTCAATTTGAGGTCACCTTTCCAATGACTGGAGCAGGCCAGTTTGCTTGCCACGGATATCAGAGATCCCCCAGTGTCAGGGTGATTACATGGGCCCTCTATAAACTCTTTTAAATCACAGGGGTCAAATTAGGAGTTGAGATCCAATGACCTCTGAGGCTCCTCTAAGATGCCCCCTTTGGAACTTCCGCTTTCGCATCTGTAAAGTGACCACCTGACTTTGGGTGACTGCAAGGGAACTTCAACAGCTATAAATTCTCAAAATCTCTGATTCTGCAGGCAAAAAGCTACAAAAAGTAGGGGCGGGGCGAGTGACATTTGGAAGGGAGCTGCGAATGTAATTAGTGATGGAAATGTGAATCTCTAGCTGCCTCTGGATGTCTTAGTTAGCAGATTCAAACAAGGCCGAATCTTGGCTGAATAATTCCATTCCCTCCAGAGCAAACGGCAACAGTAGGGGTGTTGAAAATTCTGCCTCCGTTGGAGGGAGCGGCAAATGAATTTGTTTGGGAGACAAAGGCCAGGCTATGAATTACACCGCCAGCATCTGCTAGTCTTTAAATCTCCCTGGAACTTGGATTCTTTGTTTTTAAGCAGGGATGAAAGTGTCAACCACATAGGCAGGCTTTTTTTTCTGAGGATTAACAAGTACAAATGTCCCTAGTCTTCCTGGCTGGGGTGGAGATCATCCAGAGAAATATGTTTTGAATCCAGGCTCCCCCTCTTGCTTGCTTTGTGACTTTGAGAACCTTATCTAACAGTGAGGCTCCATCTTCTCCTCGGTAAAGTTGCAGGGGATATTATAGCACCTACTTTGTAGGGCGGGCAAGGAACGCTGAGCTGAAGCACACAAAGCGTTTTGCATACAGGGTGACTAGTATGGTTTCTACCGGTAAGTAGCTTGGTGAGATTCTAAAAAACAGTGTAAATTTTACCATATCATAGAAAGTGCACTGTGAGCCACACTGAACCTGGCTTTGTGACCCTCTCTCCTATTCGAGGATTCAGAAAGACGGCTTTGCAGCCTCCCACACGTGGGCTCTTAGCTTAGCCTTGGGTGCCAGCAGTTTGAGGGTCACAGGAGGGTGGTGGGTGGGCACCCAGGTGAAGGGACTGGAAGGGGCTTGGGCAGAGCCCTCTGCTTGCCACGGATATCAGATATCCCCCAATGTCAGGGCAATTACTTTGGCCCTCTGGAAACTTTTAAATCACAAGGGTCAAACTAAGCAGCTTTGCCTCCTTCTCTGGCCTGGAGGGCATTGTTGGAAGAGTCAATTATTTGAGGTCCTAAGAGGGGGTGGTTTCTCTTAGGCCTCTGGGTATTACGCAGGCAGGGTCTTTGGAGATACTCTGTCCCGCCTTCCCAAATACCCTCCAAGCTTATTTAGGACCAGGTCTAGCTCACATCCTTCTGTGCTCAGGTGGGGAGGGAGGGAAGGCAGCTGCAGTGCAAGAAATTGGAGATGAAGAACTCCAGACCAATTTTTCTTTAGATGAGAGATGCTGTTCTAAAACTGTATGATATCAGTAGTTGGGGGTCTTTATAATATTCACATTCTTCATAAGCTTTCCTGCCAAATGAGTTATTTGGAGGACTAAAGAATTCCCAATGGCCAAAGGGAAGTTATGTAGATGAAAACTTGCATTTTAGATCAAGAGAATTTTATTAATATGTTACTATTTTAAGCCACCATACAAATATCCTTTGTATTGATCTCAGTGTGATATACCAACTGAATAAATATGCCAATTTCTGCCAGTGAGCCGAACAGTATTTTTAACCTACTTTAAAATATGTGTTGTTTCCTATGGTTTTTTTAAAGTTTGGAGTTGATTATGAAAGTACTTTCAATTTTTAAAGATTCTTCTTTCCAGAGAATATACATGTATATTTTAAACTATTAAATACAAAGCTTAATGGGGTGGGCGATTATTTTTTAAGTGATAAATTAACATTTTAAAAAGGTGAAATGATTATTTTTGGCTTATGTATGCCATTGTATCAGAGAATACCACCTCAACAAAGGAAATCTGAGTAACAATTATTTGAATATATTCAAATGTATATTCTTATGTTCAAATGTAACTGAAATATATTCTTATGTATTTTTCCCCCTGGTCACAGCCTATTTAGTCTATTTAAGCTGTTTAGTGTATAATGTTGTGTACTTAAACAGGGCCCCGCCAGAAACTTCAGGATCTTCAAAAATTGGGGGGAATCTACAATGTATACATGTATCAAAACATCACATTGTATCCCATATATATACACAATTGTTATTTATCAATTAAAAAGAAAATAAAACTTTTAATAAGTAGTGTTGACCTTGTAGTCTACACTTTTGAGAACTGCTAACCTAAGATAACTGAGTACGGTCCTTAGCATGTTGTAGACAATTGGTACATGTTTAATGGATTAATCGATAAACGAATGATTCAGAAAAAAAGTAGGAGAGAAACAAAACAGAAAGCTGAAGCTTTTCACACATTGGTTAATTGAATCCTGAAGATCACAGCAGTACTATCACCATTTCAGAGATGGGGAAATTAGGATGGGAGAAGACCAATGGCTTGTTCAAGCGCTTTCAGTTGCTTCCAAACAGTTTATTCTCTGATTCCTCTCTCCCTTTCTTCAAAATGGAGAAACAAAACAAAACAAAACCTGAAAGGATCCCTGAAGTCTCAAAGCCATTGGGATGATATTTAAAGACTGGTCTGAGTTCTCGTTTGGAGAGACATTGAAGAAGAGCCAATGACAATTATAATTTGCTAGTGGTGACACATGTTTGTGGACAGACACGCAAAAGTGCCATCTTGTAAAATGTAAAACGATACCAGTTATCACCCTTACTTTGTAGAACGAGAAACCTTAGAAAATTCAGGCCCAGAGCAGGGAATGCACCTATCTGGAAGTCACTTAAGCACGTTACAGTTTCAGGCCAGTGTTAGGAACAGGCAAAGAATCGCAAAACTCCAGTATTTCAAGAGACCTTGGCCGTCTCTTCTAACTACTGACCTGCAGCAGGAATCCCTGGTGTGGTCCCCTCCAGTGATAAGGAGACACTGTCTCCCAGGACACCCAGCTAGACCCTAATGGCTGTTCGAGAGTCCTTCCTGATTTGGAATGAAACCTGAGGTGGGACTTGGCGCCGGGGGTGAGTGGATGGATGTGGGACCTTGTCTCCCCGATAAACATTGCTGCTTGAAATAAACTTCTTTAGAACAGCCCGCACCTTCTTCTCCTGATGTCCCAGGAGACAGGGGATTACCTGAAGTTGTAGCCTGGGGACACGCTGCTCTTCTCAGAAACGCTGTCCAGCCGGGTGAAGGAGTACTTGGGGATGCACTGGTCCCAGGCCTTGTCCAAGTCGCACACCCAGCCAATCTTAATGCCCAGAACTCCACCCTGAAGAAAGGGGCCGGGTATGAGCTTTCCTCTCGCCCTCCGACTCCCTGCGCTGGGCCAGGGTGGGGGTGGGGTGGAGGTCGTGACAAATGATTTCCTCCCATTCTCCAGGTGGAAGACGGAGGCAGGGAGAAAGGAAAGTGATGTGTCACATGCTGCTCAGTAAAGAAGTGCTGTGGTGGCCGGGCGCGGTAACTCAGGCCTGTAATCCCAGCACTTTGGGAGGCCGAGAAGGGCGGATCACGAGGTCAGGAGATCGAGACCATCCTGGCTAACACGGTGAAACCTCGTCTCTACTAAAAATACCAAAAACTAGCCGGGCGAGGTGGCAGGCGCCTGTAGTCCCAGCTACTCGGGAGGCTGAGGCAGGAGAATGGCGTGAACCCGGGAGGCGGAGCTTGCAGTGAGCTGAGATCCGGCCACTGCACTCCAGCCTGGGCGACAGAGCGAGACTCCGTCTCAGAAAAAAAAAAAAAAAAAAAAAAAAAAAAAAAAAAGGCTGTGGCTCGGCTGCGGACACTGGAGCCTCTGAGTCCTATTTTTGGGATCTTCAGTCCTTTAGCTACAAAGTGGCCACAGGTCTACTTTCCCATCGTTTAGGGGTTACCACAGATCTAAGGCCTTTCCCTGAGGTGAAGTGTGAAGATAGGAGTGGGAAACTGAGGCTTGAGGAAGGTGGGCTCAGCGGGAGCGGGGGCGGGCAAGACAGCTCCGCGTGGGGAGAGGAGAAAGGATTCAGGCACAAAGCCAGTGGCAGGCCCGGGATGCTTCCACCAGGTGGCGCTGTCTCGCGGCGGCTCCTGGCCAGTGCCGGCCAAAGGGCCCTGAAATCTGGGAAAGGGCTGAAGTTGGGGAGTTTGGGGTCGCGGAAGAATGGCTAGGTCCTCACCGTGCGCGCCAGTTTGGCAAAATCCTGCCCCGCAAACTTGACTACGTCCCCTACCCGCAAGATGGGGCAGAAAGGGTCCTTGTCCGGGTGGAAGCGGCAGGTCTTCATGTCCCTGGCTGTCAGGTTGGGAAGGAGGTTTCCCCTGGGGAGGAGCGGAGAGAGAGGTCGGCCCAGGGTTCATGGGAAGATCGTCTTATGCAATCTCCCCGCCCCCGCCCCCCGCCTTCCGGAGCCTCAGGGCCCTCCACGCCTAGCGGGGATCTGAGCCCTCCATGCCTAGGGGGGATCTGAGCCCTCAGCCTTCATCTGGACCTCGCCATCTCCCTCCCCTCGTTCCTTTCCCTGCATCTTTCTGGTGCCCCATCACCCCCTTCCCTGTATCAGGGTGATGTATATCGGTGACTAATCTCCAGTTGCCAGGCTGGGAGTTCGGGAGGGCAGGAATCATTCCTGGTTACTTTGTGCAATTTTTTTTTTTTTGAGATGGAGTCTGTCTGTTGCCCAGGCTGGAGTGCAGTGGCGTAATCTAGGCTCACTGCAACCTCCGCCTCCCACGTTCAAGCGATTCTCTTGCCTCCGTCTCCCAAGTAGCTGGGATTACAGGTGTGCGCCACCGTGCCTGGCTAATTTTTTTTTGTATTTTCAGTAGAGACGAGGTTTCACCATGTTGGCCAGGCTGGTCTCAAACTCCTGACCTCGTGATCCACCCATCTTGGCCTCCCAAAGTGCAGGGATTACAGGTGTTTACCACTGAACCTGGCCTAGTGCACTTTGTAGTGCCTGGCATTGCCCTCTGCACATGGCCAATGCCCACCGAGTAGCTGTGGAATTAATGAGTCAATGAAGGGGGACTGAACTAAGAGAAAAGGGATTTCCACACATGGGCTAGATGTGGGGAAAAAGAAATGGGACGAGACCGAAAGGGTTTCAACCGTTGAAGGCATCCTCGACCCAGGACTAGGCCTAAGTTGTCCCTCTCCTACCCCAAGCAAAACTCCCATTTGGATCTGAGCCCCAAGGCAGGGAGGCTGGCAGAGAAACTGACCCCAAAGTTCACCTGATCCTCAGTGGCCAAGGCCCGCTGGGAGATTGGGAATGGAGGCCCCGGGAGATGGGTCAGTGGAAGTGGGAAGAACTGTGGCGAGGGGGCATCTCCACTTCCCTGAAAAAAAGGTGGCAGGGCTGGGGGTGCCTGCATCTTGGCTTTAGGGAAAAAGTGGGGACTCACTTCTCAAAGTTGAAGAGGGGGAAACGGATGCTGTTCTTGATGAAAATAGTGAAGTTTTCAGCTTCCATCATGATGGGCCTGTGGGTGAGCACAGGAGGCCTATACACATCTAGATGTGTATAAGAGACAGGAATCCATCTGCCCAGATGTCAGATGAGAACGGAGAAGGAAGCAGGGGCAGCGGCTGAGCTTTCACCTGGCAGATAAAGGAGTTGGGTAGAAGGT